TGCTAAATATTACATACAAAAAAAAAAAATAAAAAATAAAAAAAAATATATATATATATATATTTTTTTTTTTATTAAAGTGGAAATCAGTTTACTAAAAATTGTAAACTTGACTGACTGCTTCACTTCCACTTTAAGATTGTTTTTTTGACTCACTTAAGTACATAATTATGTCTGTTGTCTCGAAATATGGTTAAAGTGTAGCCTACTGCCGAATGTACAGACAAGCATTTATGATCAAGTAAAATATAATTTAATGTTATTTCTATTGTATGTAATGTACCTAAATATATTTCTAATTGTGCTTTTGTAAACAAGCCGAAGCTTGACGTGACGCCACAGCTACTGAAGGAGTTTCTCAGCGCGGATTTCACTCGATATTCTGGGGCGTTGTATTGAATTGTATTGTATTGAAAAAACACTTGTAGTGTACTTCAAATCTTAAGTGTATTTTTATACATTATGAAATAAAAGATCACTTAAATGCACTTAGAGTTCACTTATATAACTATATTTCTTAGTACTTTTGTACACTTTTAAAAAGTGAACTTGGCAATAATGTTAAATTAAATGTTTTATTATAAAGTACATTTTAAATATTTTTTAAATAATCTTTCATCATGTTATTCAAATTTTAAAGTTAATATATTTTAAATGTATATAAACTGCAGCTTCACCTTTACAAATGTGTAATTACAAATATATTAAAAACATGACATACATTGTATAGTATATTTTAGTTTACCATAAATGCTTGTCAGTACATTTTAACAATATTTCAAAGACAATAGAAGAAATTATGATGAAAAAGCACTCTTTATTTTGACCTATTGCATTTAATATGTACTGTAGTTTCTTCATGTTGATATCCTGAAATACATCACATTACAGAAATAGGTTTTAAACACCATTTCATTTTGGCTTTAAAGCAAGAAACATACACCTGTACACACACACTCTCTCTCTCTCTCTCTCTCTCTCTCTCTCTCTCTCTCTCTGAACCAGAGGCACTGACTCACACCTGGTTGCACAATTTCAGTGCACTTACATTCCGCTGTATAATTTACAGATGAACGCACATGTAAGTAACACACTCTCACATTCCCTATTATTTTTATTCTATATAGTCAGACTCGTTCTGATTGACGTTTTTCCAGACACACACACACACACACCCTGTTTTTTGGCCAAGAGAAACAAACTAAGCACACATACACACAGAGAGAGAGGCTGCGTAGCCAGATTCCCATCTCTCAAATCTCCCGTTCCAGAGAGAAACACAAGGTGTGCTCTTTATTGCTGCTTTACTCCCTGCCATCTTCAGATGTGCTTTTCCAATGCAGTGGCCAGAAGAGGCAGGAACCTGGGGCTAGGGAAATATGCACGTCCTCTTACTGCCCCCGTTTCAGATTCACACCAGCAGCTTTCCCATGCAGAGCTGAACCTGTGGAAGCTTTTTGGCAGGGAGGGACTTGGCTCTGTCCGTCAAAGAACTCGCAGGCTTCGAAAGAGCAACGCAAGTGTGCTGCAGGGCCATCTAATGGCCAGAGCAGTACTGCACCGCTTTCAGCACCTGGGAGTAGTCAGCTGTTTATTACTGTAAAACACAAAATTTGATTTAATATTTGGCATCCATCAGTTAGAATTAGATCTAGTGTCATTCCATATGAGTATGCCACCAGGAAATTAACCTTTGCTGCCAAAAAAGCAATTTATTGTGGTAGACTAGTGATCGAGGCCCCCTTGGTTAGGAGTTGGAATAAGGTGATATTTTCTTTGGTCCCATTTAAATTGCTTACATGTAAAAAAAAAAAAAAAATGTATATATATATAACAAATTAGTTCTAAAAGATATTAACATCTTTTTGGACTACCCTGGGCCACATTTCTCTCTCAAATACATAAATGTAAGATTTATGTATTCGAATTGCATATAAAATTTCCATCCATTTGGATTACACAGTTTTAACATAAACTAGCTAATAAAATAAATGTGATGCATATTTGTTATACATAAATAAATCACTTCACACTCTTAAAATCATGGCATAGTTTATTATTAACTATTTGCATTTATGAAAATCATATTTTCAAAATGCATTTATTTCAATTGCTTAGAATCAGCATAAATCTGTTCATCATGCAAACATTTAAATGTATTCAGTTAAACAGTATGAACATGGTTAAATATGGCTAGCTGCGGAACAAGCAATATTCAATTAGTTGAAATGTGTGCGATTGAAACAGATTTACTGATGATAAATACATAAACCTGGTTAATGTGTATTTAAATCTTATCTATTTTATTAACTGTTTCATTCATGTATGACTGATAAATATATGCATCACATTAAGTTTTGTATTTTTGTTTTTGTTCATGTAAAAAAATAGATACAAAAACAAAACAATAAAAATACATAAATCTTAATTTAGGCTTACATTTTTTTTGTACTATTTTGTTTATTTAGAAGTATTATATTTATTATTTTATATATTAGCATATCTGTCTGCGGTTTTTTATTTATTTATTTTTTTCATTTGAGCTGTTCTTTCAGATTTTTCGTGTAGCTTTTTCTCGTTTAACTATTGTGGAAAATATGGAAAATAATGTTTAAAAAAAAAATTTCATCCAAAATGTAATAAGTATCACCCAAGGTGTAATAAGTGAAAATGGCTGCTTATTCTCTGTGTGTTGCTGTGCTCTTAAAGCACATTGTCTTCTTCCATGTTGGCTGTGATTGGATTATCTAAGTGAAGTCACAGGATGGGTGAAAAACACTCCTGAAATATCTCCTCCATAATGAGAAGATTCAATCAGACAGATTTAGGGTGGTGTTGGGACTCCAATGCAGCACATTGTGGCCAGTGTTGCAGGATGTATCAGAGCGGATGTGGTCGTATAAGAGGCTCTCTGTTTCTCCAGCATGTGAAAGCTCTCTTTTCAAGAGACTCCTAATGATCATTATTATAGGGTTCATGGCATTCTGATTCATTTATTCCCCTCCTAAACTATGACATGCCCCCTGTGCCCTCAGATCTCAGTTGGTTTTAAAACACAGAGAAAACTAAGCAGACAGTACACTTTTGATTAAGATTTAAAGGGGTCATATGATGTTGCTAAAAAGAACATTATTTTGTGTATTTGGTGTAATGAAATGTGTTTATGCGGTTTAAGGTTCAAAAAACACATTATTTTCCACATA